TACGTTTGTCGTGGTTTGTATTGTTATTGGTGATGCTGCATTAGCAGTTTGTGTTGGTGGTGTTGTCGGTGGTGGTGTTGGCGGTTGTGTTGGTGGTGTCGGTGGTGGTGTCGGTGGTGGTGTCGGTGGTGGTGTCGGTGGTGATGTTGTTGTTGTCGATGGTGGTGTTGTTGTTGGTGGTTTCGTTGTGGTTGTGCTGGAGAGACCTAAATGGAAAAAAGGAGTCGAAATGCTACTATTTAATATTATTTAAGATTTAAGATTACAGACTCATTTACTCAGTTTTAGCCTCGTATCAGTGTCTAAAATTCACAAATACCGATGGTAACGTAAAGAATGCATAACTTTAACAATACAAACACTTTGGATCTTCACTGGAACGCATATGAATATTGTAAATGATATCGAGGCTAACTTCACCCCTAGAAACGTGGATTGCTGCATATCGAAAAAACAAAAATAGGGCTATAGAATATCTTTTTTCTCGCTTTAAACTATAAGCTAGAATAGTACATGCTTTTCTAGTCATTTTTATAGCCGTCATGTTCATTGAGAAGGCTGTTTCAGTGTCAGTGATGTAGCGCGCATGGGTAGTTTTTCGCCTCTCTCCGCTATGGTCCCGGGTTCGATCCTCGGACTCGTCGTACGTGAGAATTCGCTTGTTTATTCTCCCCTGTGCTTTGAGGGTTTTTTTCTCCGGGTTCTCCGGTTTTCCTCCCTTCGCAAAAAATCAACCCTAATTTGATCTGAGCTGTGCTCCGTGGTGAAACATGAGACGTAAGTCAGCTCAAGCGACTCGACCATGTTGAGCTAAGTCCTTCGCAATAAACTTTTTCGTTTTGCTCGTAATGTTTTCCCATCTCAGGTCTAGACATCGTTTCATTCTTTTGAAAAATAATATTCTTTGTTTGAGCTCTATCCATATTCATGTGTCTTCTCATGTGCAAACGTTTAACCTCATGTGCAAACGTTTAACAAAGAAATGATACTCTAGGGAATGACATGTGGACTGAATTGGGAAAACATTACGCCCAAGCCTAAAATGTCTATTGTCAGCTATTCAGCTGCAAGAAAGGATTGATGATTAGCGACTCCATTTAAAATATATATAACATACCTGTTATAATAATATTCATAACTTTTGAAATAACAGTGTTTCCATTTGAGTCCGCTATTCCATTGGTTGCGCGACACTCATAAGGTCCGCCAGACCCTTGGACAGCGGTAAAAGTGTATCTGGCCCCTCCATAATTAGGCAAGAATGGCTGGTAAAATAAGAAAAATTAAGATATGCTGAATGATCTTCAAATTAACAAGTTTTCCCCTCTATTCGAGGGATTTCCTTCTGGTTTCAGTTTTTGGTTTTCCTCTCTTCACAAAACCGAACAATCTATATTTAAAATACCCTGACTTAGTTCAACCAAGAGGTTGTTTCAGGTTACAATCTGCGCCTTAGCTGTGCCCTGACTTAGATCAGCCCAGAGGTTGTTCCAGGGTTCGATCTATGCCTTAACCTTGCCCTCACTTTCCAGCGTGCGATAAAAACGAAAAATAACTTTACGTTCGAGTGTTGCAATGGATGAAACCCTTTTTTGCTTTTGAACATGTTTTATCAATAGGGGCTGTAAATTAATGATACCGGGAAAGTAGCTGCTTCTTGTCCTACTATGAATACTCCATTTCTGTACAGTTTGACTGTTGGTCTTGGATCTCCCTCAGCGACGCAGTCGATTGTAACACTGCTTCCTAATGCTGCTTCTTTTTGTGAATCAAGCCTTATTTCTGGTGATTCTAAAGCAAAACAAAAAAACACACACTTTAAACTTACTATTTTTACCTTAGATTATTCATCAAGCATTATTTCTGGTGCTTCTATAATAAAGGAATACAATGGAAGTTCTTTGTTGCCCTTTGCAAATTATAAAACTCTCTAAAGCTCGATAGCTGTAATGGGAAGAGCGAATGGTATATTTCGTAGTATCAAATAAAAAAGCTTTTCCCTACTTCATCAATATCAAGTAATTCGTCGTTTAGGAAGCGTCGAAAGCATGCAAAAGGGTGAAGAGAGAATACTGTCTCTAACCTTAACGCCATCAAGGAAGCCATTAAAGTTGTGGCATGTCGATCGTATCGTTTATGTGAATGCAGATGTAAATAAATACCTTATGTTTCCCACGATTATGAAAAAGTTTAACGCTTTATAAATAACGACTTCTTACTTAATGAATGGACTAAAACCACTGCACTTAGCACGAAGACCAGCCGAGTGTATTCCAATGGCAACATCTTCATCGCAAGAATATTTGATCCTGTGTGAACACACAAAAGTAAAATGTATTAAAAACATCCGTATCAGTATAGTAAACAAGCCTGGAATATTCAGTATATCCCGTTTGATACCGAATCTAGCTGCCAGTTACTGGTCATAGATGTGAAGACATACTGAATAGCTTAATTCGGATTAATCCACCAACGATATCAAGAATTGATAGCAATTAATCATAACTTATTTCAACCATGTCTTGGCATTTAGTCACAGAGTTTTGGAAATTCAACAAAAATATGATAAAAAATACTAAAATAAAAATATATGAAAATATCCAATAACTTGAAGAAGAACAAGAGCAAGAAGAATTAGAACTCTTAGTACAGTACACATAGAGAAAACTCTGTCTAAATTTTACCCTCTTAAAATGACCATGAAATAAAGAACAAGAAAACCAAGAATAACAACAAGATTACAGAAGACTTAAGGAAGAAGAAGGAGAAGAAGGAAGAAGAAGGACGAGAAGAAGAAGAAGAAGAAGAAGAAGAAGAAAAGAGGCAAGACTACCACCTCGTCTCATTTTAGTATTTCGTATAGAAACAAAATATTTTTATGAAACCTCATACCACAGTTTAGTAAAACCGATTGCGACGACTAGATTTATGTGGCTATGAAGCCGTTGAACTAAGCAGTCGAGTTTACAAAACTTTTGAAATGGCCTTCTTTTTATCACTTCAAGGAAAGAACCTTCACAAGTCTAGAGAAAAAAACAGGAACCAGAAACAAAGGCTCGAGTGAGTTTTTTATTACATCGTAATAAAACATCGAGAAATACGTGCAGGTAATGAAAGAAAAAAGTTTTATGATAAAGATTTCGATATCCAGCAAGAAAAGTGAAATTTAAATTACTTTTTAAATTTTGTCATCAAGATTTATTTACCTCTTTTCGATCCAGTAATCCGAACGTTGTTTTCAAAATATTCCCAAATTCTTTTGTGTTTTGTTCTCTTGCTCGACTGAAATTCTGGTATTCTCAGCCATTAAGAAACGTTGATGTCATAAAGAACTGATATTATACTCGTCTTGTTTGGCCAGCACGACGGTAGCCCTTTTGGTTCCTATAATAAAGATATATGATAGAAACATATGATAGAAAAATAAAGGATTTTGGACAGTTTAGTGCCGTTTAGCTTCGTACTTTTTATGGGTTGTTTTGTGCAGCTTATTTGGTTAAGATTTAGTTAATGCGAAATTCCACCACAAAACAGAATAGCATGGAATTCTTTGTGTTTAAGAACAGCGTTTGCAGTTATTATCGAATTAAATCGTACTATCTCATATCAAAACAGCAAAAATATCAGCTAAGGCCAAGCAATTTAGTTTGACTAATTTTCACTCAAGCTTACTTTTTCGGATGATTCAAAGGCTTCGATTTTCTCATGTCTTGTTTTTGTTTTTTGTTTTTTCCTTTGAGATATTCTTTATAATGATTATATAGTTTCATTTTTAACAATAAACGTATCGAACTTTTTATGTATTACAAGAGATTTTAGTCKTATATTCAATCAATAATCGTTATTCTAGAATTATGTATATATGTACGAAAAAGATATTCCTACCTTTCTGAAGGAGTTTGAACAGTCGTATGCTTTCCCCCGAATTACAACTGAATTTTTCTTTAAGTTAGACGTTCTTGTTTTCCTTATTCGTCGGTTCGCACCCTCTTCAGTTTTAACGACGGCAATTTAGAACTAATTCGAAGTTAATTCGTGCGATTCTTGCRATAATTGTTCTATTCCGTTCTGGATCATATCCAATCCCTACTCGGTCCAATATATCTAAGCCCCACGTACATGTATGATCCCAAATAACGTCATACCTTTTATCATTTTAAAGACTACTTCAATACTTTCAGACCAAGAAATGTTACCAAGCTTTCGACCTAAGTCATGTCATACTGTACGAAAAGAGGCGGGAGGGAATGTTCATTTTTGTTTTATTTTGATATGGATATATCTTTTACAGTGGTATTAATATACCTCCCTCCTCTATTTAGCCCTATATTAAGCGGACACCCTTTATTAGCGGACATTAGATCGGGTCCCAAAATCTTCAGTCGTTCATAGAGAGGTTGATGATGTCATAAACTGATATCAGTGTAAACAAAAAAAAAGTGGTGTTTGACAGAATACCCATCCCTTTGGCTCCAAACAGGGTCCCATATTTCACTCATGTCGTCAGTTACTAAATACAAATAACTAGGCCAAATCATTAAAAGGGGAAAAAACTGCAATGAGTTATCAAGTCCGACGAAAGAACGAACACCGAAGCCGACCTTAATCCGAAAAATTTCCGAGATGTTAGTGTCGAATACGATACGGAAATTTGTTCATTAACTGCATCTCAGTTCCGCGCCCAAGAAATAGCAGAAACTTTTTATTTCTGCAAGCAATGCATTTATCAACCAGATTCTGAAACTCGAAAATTTTCAACACTCCTCAATTCACTGAACTCTGAGCCATATCGGAATAAAAGCATTCGTGAAATGCTTGACAATTTTATTGACAAAAGCCCGGAAACAAAAAAAGAACTGTAAATTATACGATCTGAAAAAAATATATAACCTTTTGAAATTTTACTCTAAACGTGTATCTTATTTGATTTATTTATATTTTCTATTAATTCATTTTGCTTGCGTAAAAATATAACCAGGACCACAGGGAGCCCAATTTAGATTGGTGAAAATAAAATCGGAAAAACTAAATAATTAATTATTTTTTAAATTCGAGATCAAGATAATGTCCTCTGTAATGCGAAAGAGCAAAAAAATCAATGAAAAATGCACCATTTTTTTTTTCGCGCGCGCCTTTGTTTTCCTATATAATTTCCCTATGGTATCTGTTGTTGATGTTATGTATATACACTCAATTGAAGATTCGTTGTCGGGTTCAGAAACATAGAACATAGAAGCTG